TACAAAAAATCTGAACTTTTTTTTCAAGTAGTCGCTGAACCATGAAAATGAGGTCAAGGACAATGGACATGTGACAGACGGAAACTTCGTAACATAAGGCATCTTTATACAAAGTACCAGTATGAAGCATCCAGGTCTTCCGCCTTCTAAAATATAAAGCTTTTAAGAAGTTAGCTAACACTGCCACTGCCGTAGCCACCGGATCACTATCCCTATGTCGAGCTTTCTGCGACAAAAGTCACAGGCTCAACAAAAAACAAAAAAATAAAGTTAAGTCAGTATGACAGAAAAATTTCCAAAATATGGAGAAAATAACATACAATATACAGAAGCAACTGATGCAATGGTCGCTGTCATTTCAAGAATGTTCTCATGTTTATAATCACTCACTCAAGAATTTTTAAATAGGTCAGATCCTCTGTAAGAGCTTAAGCTTCCATCTAGAAAACAACTGTCAACATGATATTTTGAAACAATGCTCTAAAAGCTGTTTTTGAAAAGTTCTTAATTTTCACTATAAATACGTTGAGCAATATAATTGTGTTTAACTTTCTTTATTTTTTCATATTATTGTGAAGCATGTAATTGACAGAAATCGAAAAGTAATGTAATTACTTTTGATGAAGCAATCGATTTCAATCGATTACATACAAAATTTAGAGTAATCAATTATTAATCGATTGCACAAAAATACTTCAAGTAATCAATTATTAATCAATTACATTTGTCAGTAATCGTGCCCATCCCTGAAAAGGCTAGGTTCATTGAACATTAGGATTTTAGATTTCTCACAGTTTCTTGAGTAACAAAAAAGATGGATTAAACAGAAATATGGTGAGTCATCAATAATAATTCAGTCATAAAAAAATAAATAATAAGGCTTTTTTTCTTAAATATTTATTTGATATAACAATTTAATCAGACATATTTAAGGGAAAGGCATTGAAAGACATTCAAATAAAAAAGTGGTTTTAAATGACTAACTTTCACATACATATAAATAAACTTAATACAAATACATGTACAACTAAGGCTTGTTTTACTCATGACTGGTGCAATGACATCAGAGTGTAATGTAATTATCACTAGTTTCACATTAAACAAGAAACAGCATTCTGAAAAATCTAATTCGTAAATTATGTTAATACATATATGTAAGAGACAAAATTTTCTTAAAAAAAAAAGAATGAGGAATTACTTTTGAGTCAACATTTTATACACCATTTTACTTATTTATAAGATTAAAATATTTAGAGATTGTGATATTACACAAGAAAGAGTACATTTTGGGGATAAATTGGACTAGTAAATTCATTGAAAATTATAAATTACACTTCACCATTATTTATCTCATTTTTTATCATCAGAAAAAATATGTGTTATTGACTATTGCTGTATGATGACACAACTTTATTGTGATTTTATTGAAGTAACTTTATAAGGAATATTTATCAGACATAATAAAAAAAAACATAAAAATATACTTATTTCAGGTACATTGTGGCAACAAATTACATGAAGCACATTCACTGTTGAAAATAGTTTTTGTCCGTGTAAAGATTAAGATACTTTATACCTCCTATGTGAAGTTATCTTTGAACATGGATTGTATAGTACATTTTATGGGCGAGGCAATTGGTCAATATTTTGTGCAATTTTTTTGTGAAATGTATTATCTGTCGGTCATTTAACAGTGGCAAAACCAAAACATTTTTTTTTTAAATAAGTCTGTTTCATAGAACTTCACAGATTCACAATCTAATTCTGCAAATTGGATATTTTATATATTTCTTTGACTTATGGGAAAATCTGCAAGAAAATCAAACCTTATTCTAAAATTGAGAATGGAAATGGGGAATATGTCAAAGAGACAACAACCCGACCAAAGAGCAGACAACAGCCAAAGGCCACCAATGGGTCTTCAACGCAGCGAGAAAATCCCGCACCTGGAGGTGGTCCTCAGCTGGCAACTAAATAAAATTGTGTACTTTGTATTTAAATGTTCATATACTATCATGAATAATAAAAGATTCAACTTTTCGGTGTAAACTTCTATTCATTTAACACTATAATTCAATGTCCATTCCGTGTAAACTTAAATTCTATTCATTTAATGTCCAAGCTTATTTGACTCAAAAATGATTTAAACGATGTATCATGTAAACAAATTATATATAATTTATATAAGGAGTAAATTTCATTTTACAGTCAAACATCGAATAAAATATTTTATCTAAATGTATTTTGCACCTTGAAGTTTTTCCCTTCAAAGTAATAAGGCAGAGAGTTTAAAGATAAAATCTTGATCTGCAACATTAATATTTTTTCCATTTGAAAAATTTATGACAAAAATGCTATGTCTGAAAAATATCTATAAAACTGAACATATAACTAAAAAGAAGAAAAAGTTCAAATACAAAAAGACCATGTTTGTAAATGATATGTTATGGGTTCAACAGGAATCAAAACTGATTGCTGATGAAGGTAACATTCATATTGCTATAGAGCAATATTTTTTAGTAGCATGGCAAAAAAAAAAGCAAAAAAACAATTAAACATTAATTATATATTATGCATATCTCCAGATACATAATGTAACAAATCAATAAATTATTAAAAAAAGAAACAAAAAATACCAAAGAAGTAACAAATAAGTAATAAAATAAAATGGTCTTTTATTCCCACTATATACAATCAGTACTGCTAATCTACTGTAACAGTCCTCTGTATCTTACTGATGTTTGTTATATATGTATATCTACATGAATATGCAGCAACAATAGCAATCAAAAAGCTGAACGCAATGTCGTGCAAAGTATACCCATACACCTTTTTCGGACATTGACAGAAACATTCCATGCTCAGTGGGTTAAATAAAATGTGAATTAAAAAGTAACTGCCAGGCAACCAAAAAAAAACATTACAGGGTGCAACTCTACATTATAAAATTTGGGACCAAACATCAAATCACTACAGAAGCTGGGTAAGTTGTTAGGAAATATTCAATGTTTAGAGGTTTTTACAGAGGCGGATTTAGAGGGTTTTTCAGGGGGCCCAGGGCCCCCCTTTTTTGGGAAAAATTTGGTTGATTATATAGGGAATCACTGAAGCATGACTGGAGCGGGCCCCCTCTTAGGCAGTCAGTGGGCCCCCACTTGTGAAAAATTCTGGATCTGCCACTGTTTTATAGTAACTCCAAGTATCATTGCACAGGATGTAACTACCTAGCAGATCTGAAAATCCCTTACAGATAAACTTTAAGACCAAATATCAAATAATTCCTTCATACTGAAGCAGAGTAGATGAAAAAAAGTTACAGACAAACAGATGAATGGATGAATAAGGACTTTGCAGTAAACCACCCACTCTGCGAATGATTGCACAATTCAGTATTTTTTCTTTTATAATTCATATGTGCCATAACTGATGAATATTGTAGATAAACAGCTGATTAAATAGTCATGTCACTGAAATCTTTATAAAATTAGGATTGTAACAGTTAACTAATTGTAATGGATTTTGTAATAATAATGGAGTTAGTATTTTACTATATTATTTCAAACAATATGTTATAAACCAGGTACCAACAAATACATATTTTCATACTACAGTAGTTAATAGACTATTTTCATATTACCGACTTTTGATTCCGGATTATATAATTTGTCGACTGGTTACCTTGGACATCATGGTACCAAGTCAGGTAAGAGCAAGCTAAAGAAGTAAAACCAAGCTTTCAATCTGCACAATTTTGGGGGAAAATTACCTGGTTAATATTTTTTTTCACTACAAAATCATCGGAAAACAGTAAACTTCCCCTCAAATACACCGATTATATGTTTGATTTTACTTATTTTGGCTGCTCTTACTTGACTGAGTACCATGATGTCCAAGGTAACCAGTCGTCAAATTATATAATCCGGAGTCAAAAGTCGGTAATATGAAAATAGTCTATTGCAACAGAAAGTAATTTACAAGTCTTCTTAGTAGTTCCCATCAACAATTCCCTATACAGTCAATCCAATATGTAAAGGTCACCCTTTGATGCAAGAGAAAACTGACCTTATAAGAGAGAGGTGACCTCTGAATTGAGGTGACAAATACATGTGTATTACTACAGGGGAACAAAATGAGAATAATCTGACAGAAGACTTTACATAATAGAGTAACCTTTATAGCAGGTTTGACTGTACTTTAACTTCTTACAAAATTATAAAGTTAGATATGTATATATATGTGAAAATAACACAGTTAAAAATCTCACAACACTTCAGCAAATCATATGGGTTTTTTCTTACTTGACATTTGTCATTACAGGAATTTCATTAACCTAAATGCATTTACCAATTAACAAAACTTATCTACAGGTGGGTCAATCAAGTCTATATATATATATATATACACAGGAAAATTGTATTTTTTACACAAATGACCAATTTAACCCTTGGGGTCTAGCCTAATTTTTATACTTTGGAAATGAAAAATTTCATTGAAACAATTCACAGTAAACCAGGTTCAAGTTTGAGCTTTTAATAAGGTTTCATTTTAAAACCCAAAGCTCTTTTGCAATATTTTTTTTTAAATGCTGAACAGTCATCAGAAAGAAAAGAAATAAATTCACATGATGAAATGTTTTCATGAGTATGCAATTGTAAATATCATACCACATTTAATTCCTGATAATATGACAGAAGTTCAATACTTGCTTAAATAATTTTGATTGGTTATCATCAGAAAAATGTTGCTGCATGCTGTCAGGCAACACAATAATAATGATGACTATTTCTAACTTTTCAGCTAAAAAGAAGATAGTTCAGCTGTGTCATCAAGGACTGGCATAAAACAACTTCTTTTCGATCAGAGTAATTACCTTGTTAGAATGTTAAATGAGTTGAAAATTAAAAACTAAGAACAAATACAAGTAAGCAAATAATCTCCCCCCCACCCCTAAAAAAAACCAACTAGTTAACACCCCCCCCCCCCCCCAACCCCAACCCCATAGACATAATTATATTCTTTACAATAAATCTACACCCCAACAAAATGTTGCATGTCATATCATAGAAAGTATACCCCCTCTCATTATTTGACATTGACAAACAAAAATCCAAGCTGTCATCAAAGTAGTAAACAACTGGAAAGGAGTGCAACTATTCCTTAAAGAAAAATCAAATATCAAATTCTTTCAACCTATCATGTTTAGACACTAAAACAACAGACCTCATAAAAAGAACTATTTCTTGTTTACAAAGAGGATGAAAATGAGGTCAAGATCAAAAGTAAATAACTAGCTCATAGGCATAGGCAATACCCATACACATTTTGGCTATCACAGGTGACCATAGGTATATAATACACAGCTATCCACAATTGTAAACCTAATGCCTGATAGTGAAAACCTATGAATATCCACTTGCGACTTTTGTCTCAGATGAAACGAAAAAAGAACTACTAAATCACTAATGTCTTGCAGTCACACATTTCAGTTACATCTAGTAATCAAATTCAAATGCCTGTTTCATACTCTATAACAATTAAAAACACAATAAGTTAACAATGATCCTTTTATATGGATTCTAGACTGTTGAGCCATCTCTGCTTTCCAAATAGAAGACTAGGATTATCTCCCTTGTATATTTCTGTCCCATTATGACTAGGAGATGAATGATATCTAGCTGTATAAAACTCCCATCATAAAATGCAACACTGAAAAGACAAAACATATATATATATGCAATCATTTCCAGTTTACTCCTTTGATTTTAGTTTAGAAGTTCAATATTTAGCAAAACAATAAAAAGTTTAGTGATTTTCAACTCAATTCCTTTAGGGCTGTTCCAGATTTAAACACATGAGGAATTGGATGCACGTAAATTAATAAATAGTGGGTGGTCGCATTTTCTTTAGAAATTTGTAAAAAAGGAAATTTTATATTGTGGGTGGTTTGGGTCTAATAAAAAGCACTTATTGTAAAATTTGTGTTCATATTATATCACTAATGTGATCTCTTACACCCTCATTGCAATTGAAAAATTAATATACTTGAGCCATCTTTACCCGTGTTTTACCTGACAAAACACAAATCTCTGCAATATTCAATTCACACAATATTTTATTAAGCAAAGATATTACGTATTTTCCCAATGATGGATACATTTCTGAGCCACAAGTTCAGAAAATAAATTAACCTTGAAATATTGTTAAAGGTTGGTTACTACTATCACTTAATACTAAAGCTTCGCCTTAAAGGAAGGAAGGATGTAAGAATTGTAATAGTCTGAAAATTTTATCATGCAAATAACATGAGGAGCATGTAGATCTATTATGTCTTGACACAGTTATCTTCCATTGACAATTTTTGTAAAATTCAATGTTTTTCAAAGGGCATTATAGCAGCATGGTACCATATTGCTACTTTTTCATCATGGTTCTAAAACCTGTTGCTATATTTAAAGGAAACAGTTCTATTGCAAAAACTATTGGAGAGTACACTAAATACATTTCCTTTCTGAACAGTTAGATTTCTGTGTATTCATTATTATTCATATTATACCAAATTTTGTGGACTTCAAGGGAATAGGTAAACCACAAAATTAAACGTTAAATGAATCCACATTTATTGTTTTATTTTTACTTTCACTTAACATATGAGTTGTGTCAGGTAAAAATCAACCCTATGCAATTGCACGTATACATGTACTTGTATAAAACTTTTAGTGATTTTGGTATATTCAAATACAAAATAAAAGATGAATTTTGGTCTGTTTTGTAGGGTTCTTATAACAACTCAATTTTCAAACAGTTACAGACTTTCCGTAGAGATTTTTTCATCGCGAGATAGGTTATCAGATGTATTGATATTCATTTACATAAGGTTGATTTCTATCAGACGCAGTTCATATGTTATTATTTACATGCAATGTTTTATTTTTACTTTCACTTTACATACGTTACTATCTTTTTCCTTTGATCTTTCTCTGTGTCTATCTCTATCCCTAGGTCTCTCCCTATCTCTAGATCTCTGTTGACTACCACCAGGTGGCATTCTCTGGTTGCCCTGCTGCTGTGCTGGTGGTTGAGCAGCATGTTGGGCTGCTTGTGCATCTTCTTCAGCTTGTAGCCTTGCAGCAAATTCAGCACTGAAATGACAATGTGTCTTATATTTGCAATTCAAAATTTATCATAAAATAATAGAAGAGCGGCTATACTTTTATTCCAATATAGTTTGTTTTTCCTGTGTCTGATTTTATTTTACATACAATAAAATGCTTCGCTTGGCACAGCTTGATACGACTGCAGAGGTCGAACCCTGAACAGTTGGGGCAAGTATGGACACAACATTCAAGCTTGATACAGCACTGAATTTGGATTGTGATTAAATATTTGACACAGAATGAATGTGGTCTAAGAACTTAAAAATTTTTAATTTACCTATTCAAACCATATCATTATTATTTGCTTTTATATATAAATCAGAAATAACCAATTTAAAATGGAAATTTTTAAAGAAAAAAAAAGGAAAAAAAATCCCTCCCCCAAATTTTTCGAACCCCCTTATGATTCATCACCCCCAAAATCAATCCCAGCCTTCCCTTTGTGGTATGGTACCTTGCAGTACAATTTCAGAGAGATCCATACACTTGAACACAAGTTATTGTCTGGAAACTAGAAAAATGCTTGTTTTTAGGCCCCTTTTTGGCCCCAAATTCCTAAACGTTTAGGGCAATTACCCCCAAACTGAAACCCAGCTTTCCCTTTGTGATATGGAACCTTGTAGTACAATTTCAGAAAGATCCATACACTTACACACAAGTAAATGTCCTGAAACTAGAAAAATGCTTGTTTTTTGCCCCTTTTTGGTCCCTTTTTCCTAAAGTTTTCAGGCAATTACCCCCAAAATCAATCCCAGCCTTCCCTTTGTGGTATGGTACCTTGCAGTACAATTTCAGAGAGATCCATACACTTGAACACAAGTTATTGTCTGCAAACTAGAAAAATGCTTGTTTTTTGCCCCTTTTTTGGCCCCTAATTCCTAAATTTTTGAGGCAATTACCCCCAAAATCAATCCCAGCATTCCCTTTGTGATATGGAACCTTGTGGTACAATGTCAGAGAGATCCATACACTAAAACACAATTTATGTCTGGAAGTTACAAAAAATGCTTATTTTTTGCCCCTAATTCCTGAACTGTTGGTACCATAACCCCCCAAAATCAATCCCAACCTTCCTTTTTGGTATTGAACCTAATGGTAAAATTGCATAGAGATCCATTCACTTAAACTAAAGTTAGAGTGCGAAAACTAATGGGTCTTTGGACGAAGACAACGCCGACGACGCCAACGTCATACCAATATACGATTTTTTTGCGGTCGTATAAAAATCACATGATAACATTTGAAATCTATACAGTGTTTGGATCAACACAACATCATCTACATAATCACATCCACTTGAGTGCTGTCACCTTACAGTAGGTTTGCATCAGTGGGTCAAAATAGAAAAGTGTGGTAGAATACCTTAAGTGGAAATCTTTCTAAATCATTGGATTTGCTTAATTCACCTGTGTAAATAAACTGGCGAATGCATCATTGTGCATAGAAAAATGTCACATGATACAGCTTCTTCATTCTCCACATTGAAACAAAAATTAACCCTGAACTATTCTATTGAGGTCAACAAACATTGTAAATTCATTCCCGTGGAAAGTAAGAGTGATGCAACAAAGTAGAAAAGAATATTTTCCTTTAATGTGAGACTTAGACTATAATTTTTTTTTTTTTTAAATGAGGTAAAAACTCATTTTTGCTGCTGTAAAAACACTTTCCAGAAAAATAAGTTTTTGGAAGTGGTCAATTCTACAACTTGAACCTGAAGTTATCACTTTCTCATTCAAATAAGTATTTTTTAAACTCACTTCTTTTTGACTCAGGACAATTTAGACCCTGTTCTTTGTTATAAAGAGTTTAAATTGCTTTCTTAATGTCTTAGTTATTTGTTTCATTTGGGTTGCTGTCTCATTGACATATACTCCACATCACCTTTTATTTACTTTGTAAAGGTTGTGTCCTACAATGACTGTTATTACAGATCTCAAGTGATATTAAAGTTCTTTTGTTATTATTCATTAAATACTGTTAATTCAGAAATTTTTGCAATGTTTTTATCATTGTAAAGATTGAAATTGGATAGGTTTTGCAAATATAAAAACTCACATTTAAAATTTTGATAACAATATTTGTATGCAGCATTTTTTGAGTCACATGACATATGTGTTTGTTGTTGTTTATGATCTGAGGTAATTACTTTTTTTCTAGCTGAGGTTATAACTCACTCAGACAAATGTGTTTATTATTGTTTTTTGAACTAAGGATAAAACTTACTAGGAGAAATGTGTTCCTTAATTTCTTTTACCCTAGGTATTTACTTACTCAGAGAAATATGCTTGTTATTGTTCTTGGAACTGATGTGATAACTTACTCCGACATATGTGTTTATTATTGTTTTTTGAACTAAGGATAAAACTTACTAGGAGAAATGTGTTCCTTAATTTCTTTTACCCTAGGTATTTACTTACTCAGAGAAATATGCTTGTTATTGTTCTTGGAACTGATGTGATAACTTACTCCGACATATGTGTTTGTAATTTTTTTAGCTGAGGTTATAACTTACTCAGACATATGTGTTTGTTATTGTTTTTTTGAGCTTAGGTTATAATTTACTAGGACACATGTGTTTGTTAATGTTTTTTTAGCTAAGGTTATGATTTACTCAGACAAATGTTTGTTCTTGTTTTTTGAGGTAATAATTTACTTAGACAAATGTGTTTGTTATTGTATTTTGAGCTGAGTTTATAACTTACTCAGACATATGTGTTTGTTATTGTTTTTTTACCTGAGGTAATAACTTACTCAGGCATATGTGTTTGTTATTGATTTTTGAGCTGAGGTTTTAACTTACTAAGACAAATGTGTTTGTTCTTGTTTTTTGAGATTGTAACTTACTCAGACAAATATGTTTATTGTTGTTTTTAGAGGTTTTAACTTACTCAGACAAATGTGTTTGTTGTTGTTTTTTGAAGTTGTAACTTACTTAGACAAATGTGTTTGTTGTTTTTTGAGGTAGTTACTTCCTCAGACAAATGTTTTTTATTTTTTTTTTTTTGAGGTTGTAACTTACTCAGACAAATGTGTTTATTGTTTTTTTGAGGTTGTAACTTACTCAGACAAATGAGTTCATTGTTGTTTTTGAGCTAAGGTTATAATTTAATCAGACATATGTGTTTATTTTATTTTTTTGAGCTAAGGTTATAACTTACTAGGACAAATGTGTTTGTTATTGTTTTTTTGAGCTAAGATTATGATTTACTCAGACAAATGTGTTTGTTCTTGTTTTTTGAGGTTATAACTTACTTAGACAAATGTGTTTGTTATTGTATTTTAAGCTGAGTTTATAACTTTCTCAGACATATGTGTTTGTTATTGTTTTTTGAACTGAGGTAATAACTTACTCAGGCATATGTGTTTGTTATTGATTTTTGAGCTGAGGTTATAACTTACTCAGACAAATGTGTTTGTTATTGTTTTTTGAGCTGAAGTTATAACTTACTCAGACGTGTCTGTTATTATTTTTGAAGTGAGGTAATTACTTACTCAGATAAATTTGTTCTTTGATGTTGTGGTTGTTGTTGAGGAGCTTCAGCTATTTCCATCTGTTCTGCACACATTTGTTGTTCTTGTTGTAGAGACATGGCTAATAAATAACTGGAAATAATCAAAACATTAGTTACATTACAGACATGAATGTGTGTACTTAGTGCCAATTGTATCTTCAATGCTTCATGCAAAATGTGATTGTCATGCACTTGCTTTCATTTTGTATAATTGTTTTAAAAAAATAAACTGAAGAATGTGTCCATGGGACACAGATATGGACACAGATGCCATTGCTTGAAAAAATACAAAAAAATCTGCAATTTTTCAATTTACAAAGGGACATAACTAAAGAACCTTGAAAGTGAGACCAGCCAAATTCAAAATTGATCTGTGTTTGGGGGTAATATGCATTATGTATAAATTTTATAACATTTAGTTGAGGCAAACTAAAGTCAGAGAATGAAAACTAATTTTGGATGTACAGACCAATGGACAAGGGTAAACTTAATGCCTCCTCTGCCAGGGAGTGGGCATAATAACATTCAATTTTATAATGAAAGAACACAACAGTGCCTAATATTGCATCAATGATTCATGAAAGCATATAATTGAGACGTGTTAAACACTGCCTTGTTTTTGGACTAAAAGATTCTGTGACTATAGGACTTTGATATAATAAGTTGTGAAATGGTAAAATTTCATGTGATTCAATGAAAACAAACTTGAATTACAACTGATAATTTTTTCTGTAGTGCAGGTTTGATATTCTTACTCATGATTAACTTCCTCATCACTATTTACAGCAGACTTTTTACAGACACATCTGTTATTTGGACCAGTCCCTGTTTGATAGGCACATCAGGAGGTAAGACTGGGCACTGTGGTGCAGGTTTGATATACTTACTCATGATTAACTTGCTCATCACTGTTAACAGGCACATCAGGAGGTAAGACTGGTTCCTGTGGTGCAGGTTTGGTATACTTACTCATGATTAACTTGCTCATCACTGTTAACAGGCACATCAGGAGGTAAGACTGGTCCCTGTGGTGCAGGTTTGATATACTTACTCATGATTAACTTGCTCATCACTGTTAACATGTACATCAGGAGGTTAGACTGGTTCCTGTGGTGCAAGTTTAGAGTACTTACTCATGATTAACTTACTCATCACTGTTAACAGGCACATCAGGAGGTAAAACTGGTTCCTGTTTGACAGTTTTTTTTATATATAGTTACTCATGATTAACCTGCTGGTCACTGTCAACACATACATCAGGAGGTAAGACTGGTTCTTGTGGTGCAGGTTTGATATACTTACTCTTGATTAACTTGCTCATCACTGTTAACAGGTACATGAGTAGTTAAAACTGGTTCCTGTTTGACAGGTTTGGTATACTTACTCATTATTAACTGGCTCATCAGTGTAAACAGGCACATCAGGAGGTAAACTGGTTCCTGTGGTGCAGGTTTGATATACTTAATCATGATTAACTTGCTCAACACTGATAACAGGCACATCAGGAGGAAAGACTGGTTCTTGTGGTGCAGGTTTGATATACCTACACATGATTAACTTGCTCATCACTGTTAACAGGCACATCAGGAGGGAAGACTGGTTCCTGTGGTGTAGGTTTGATATACTTACTCATGATTAACTTGCTCATCACTGTTAACAGGCACATCAGGAGGGAAGACTGGTTCCTGTGGTGTAGGTTTGATATACTTAATCATGATTAACTTGCTCATCACTGTTAACAGGCACATCAGGAGGGAAGACTGGTTCCTGTGGTGTAGGTTTGATATACCTACACATGATTAACTTGCTCATCACTGTTAACAGGCACATCAGGAGGGAAGACTGGTTCCTGTGGTGCAGGTTTGATATACTTAATCATGATTAACTTGCTCATCACTGTTAACAGGCAAATCAGGAGGTAAACTGGTTCCTGTGGTGCAGGTTTGATATACTTAATCATGATTAACTTGCTCATCACTATAAACAGGCACATCAGGAGGTAAACTGGTTCCTGATGTGCAGGTTTGATATACTTTATCATGAGTAACTTGCTCATCACTGTTAACAGGCAAATCAGGAGGTAAACTGGTTCCTGTGGTGCAGGTTTGATATACTTAATCATGATTAACTTGCTCATCACTGTTAACAGGCACATCAGGAGGTAAACTGGTTCCTGTGGTGCAGGTTTGATATACTTAATCATGATTAACTTGCTCATCACTGTTAACAGGCACATCAGGAGGTAAACTGGTTCCTGTGGTGCAGGTTTGATATACTTAATCATGATTAACTTGCTCATCACTGTTAACAGGTACATCAGGAGGTAAACTGGTTCCTGTGGTGCAGGTTTGATATACTTAATCATGATTAACTTGCTCATCACTGTTAACAGGCACATCAGGAGGTAAACTGGTTCCTGTGGTGCAGGTTTGATATACTTAATCATGATTAACTTGCTCATCACTGTTAACAGGCACATCAGGAGGTAAACTGGTTCCTGTGGTGCAGGTTTGATATACTTAATCATGATTAACTTGCTCATCACTGTTAACAGACACATCAGGAAGTTAACTGGTTCCTGTGGCGTAGGTTTGATATACTTACTCATGATTAACTTGCTCATCACTGTTAACAGGTACATCAGGAGGGAAGACTGGTTCCTGTGGTGTAGGTTTGATATACTTACTCATGATTAACTTGCTCATCACTGTTAACAGGCACATCAGGAGGTAAGACTGGTTCCTGTGGTGTAGGTTTGGTATAGGTATGGAATTCAGAATCTACAAAGTAATGGTCTCCTTCTACATTGTTTAATGTCTCCCATACCACATTCCTTTCATGTAAAAATCCTTGATCTGTTACCAGCAAAAATAATTCATCCTGAAAAATAATGGCAAGGAAATAAAAGAAATTTATTGGATCTGGATGCAAGCACATATAAATTGAAATTACTGTTGACATGAGAAACCAGTTTTTGTATAAATCTATAATAAACTGATGACACAGAGATATGTCTGGCCGGTATGTTAGTTTGATAAAATATATTAAAAAAACGAATTTGAAATGGCAATTTTCTATTAAACATATAAACTATGAAATCATTCAAAGTCAATAAACCATGCATACCAAATTTCATTAACTTACCAATCTCAGTTCAATAATTATCTATTCCTGTAATTTCTTTGATCAAATTCAAAAATGTTTCTGCTTTCTTGCACATGTTGCAGCAATGATATGAAATTTAACTATGTATTTATTGATATCAGATATGTAACAAAATGTACCTTTTGTCTATATAATGTACAGAAATGGTTGTTTCTAAAGAAGACACAAAGTTGATCTGGTTTTAATGTGGATGACAATTCACACAGGCCATGGTATGTCAGCTGAGATGCTGTCCTATCAAGGAAACCTTCTGCAACAAGAGCTACAAAATAAAAGAAACAAAATGTACTGTGAGCTAATGATTGCTTATCATATCCCAACTGAATGTTGTTGTCTCTAGTTTTGCAGTTAAAGATACAAGTTTTCAGAAAAACAGGAAGTAGATCATTGAAGGAACAAAAAAATGTGTCATACATATGGACTAAATGGTTGAGGCTTCATGTCATAGATCCAGAGCTGTGACTTGATGAAAATGTACCTAAACTTTCATTTAAGTGCACAACAATCCTAAAGGGTATAAGTTGAGGAACTGAAAACATGTAACAATGTTTGGCATAAATTAATTGAGCTTGTTAATCTATATCAAGGAGTTGTGGCTTGTAGTTGCTAGGAAAAATGTGACAGAAATGTGTAATCAATAATAGACAGAAAGATAGATAAAGTCCTTCAATCAAAGTATGAAGTTTTTTTCAGCTACTGGGGATTTATTCATTTTCTTGTGTACCAATTTTTTGTTAATTGAGGAAAACTTAAATTTTGTTGGATATTCAATTTTGTGGTTTTGCCAAAGTCTGCATACAAGCCTGTAGAAAATTTGTACTTTGTTAAATATTTAAATTTGTGGTTTACCTATAACCAGGAAATCAACAAAAATTGGTAACAAATAAGAAATAATGAATCCGTGGTATTCTAAATGTACTGTATAATATCTGAGATAATATCTGAGATAATCTGAGACATCTAACATCTTTAATGGTTCAATATTTCAAATTTTGAAGAAAAAGATAATTACATGACTAAGAATTCAAGAGTGTATAAAATTTACATATTTTTCATTAAATTGAGGTTTTTAAGTTTGTAGAATCATGTTATTGATGTATAATGCCTCAGATCCCCTTTTTTTTATATCATTAACTTCTAATATCTAAACTAGAGAATATCAAACAATTCAAAAATAGATATAATTGATTTTTCAAACAAAACTTTTTAACAATATCACTATAAAAATCTGTTTGAAAGCAAACAATAATGATTTTTATGTAATAATAATAATTTCTTCCTGTAAATTTAACTACTATATATATTCTTTTTGTCAATGACTTTTGTTTTTATTTCCTGTTTAACAGGGAAATTTCAAAACTGGTGGGATTATTTTATGTAAGTATTTTGTAATATCTATAACTTGTGTAAATCTTTTGAAGATATGATAAACTGATTTATTTTTAACAATATAATTAATTTTCAGACAATGGGAATCAATACAATACTTAATCTTTGTTTGTCCTTTTAAGTTTCTTATATGTCTAATGAGTCATTTCTTCATTTCACAAAATATCTCATATAAAAGGTTATCTTCATACATTTTCAAATGAATGTTTGAAAGGTCTGTTTGTCTGTTCAGGTCAACCATTATCTGTGTTCATAGGCTTCAAACTCTATAGTATAATGGTAAAAATTATGCAAACATACTGTTTTGTATTCAGTCTATCTAGAATTATTCCTCGACCTGAATATACATGAAATATTTGTCACTGGACATTATGTAAATAACAATTAATCGATTGGAATTATGCCCATTTTCAGGTATCATCTTATATATTCATCTCCTCTCATACAAGTATATGAAACTTTGTACATTTAATAAAAAAGTCTATCAAAACTGATCATGTGAGTCCTCAAAAGACCATGAGGTAAATACATAATCTAAACCAATGGTTTCCTTTGGCCATGGTGTTGTCATGCCTTTACTTGAGTTATGGTTTTTTAATTGTCCCCTTGGTACTTTTTCCTCACTTTTATTATTTCTATTAATCTAATATCTTCTAGGCAAACATTAGAGCCACCATATAACTGGAGTTTTCAGGCAGAATATATTTTTAATCTAGCTTGCAATTTTATAATGATGTCAAATATTGATTGATTGTTGGTTGCTTAACAACCAGTGGCAAATATTTCATGCATGTTCAGTAAGAGAACAAATTAACAGTAAATAAAATAGGTAGGTCCTTTAATAGAGGCCTGTCCGAGATGAAAGGTTTGGGAAATTTTGACTGCCACTGGAAAATGAGGGTATATTGGATAGGGACAGAAATTTTGCCTTGCAACAGGCCACCTACAGACCCCCAAAGAGTTGTTCCAAGGGTTCTTAATATGCATACATGTAGGCTGTGGCACTCTCTTCACACAAAGCATCAGATTTATAATTAAAGTCCACAATTCTGACAGGATGTGCCTGTGTACTTGTACATCCTGCACAGTCAAGTTTTCTGGTTACATATAACTATGGTGTTCAAACTGGATTTAGATGTGTATTTACCCAATGCATAATTAATCAATAAGTTTTAAACAATACTCAATCAAGCAGAATAACAAATCTTAAGCCGGAAATGTTCATGCAGTATTTATCAGCAATAAATACATTATGGGAAAATATAAAATTCCTCTGTGAAAGCTTGAGAAACAGGAAGTTGAAGAGGCTTCCCAAGCTTTTCACATATTTTGTAGCCACTATAAACATATGTGATATTTTTGGATGATGAGTGCTTGTTATTATAATGCTATCAAATATTGATACTTTCAAAATTGTTCAGGGTAAGGCCAAAATACAATTTGACTAATTCTAAGACTTGTAGTAATGTAAAGTGGGAAATTTTTGTTAGTGATTTATTCTAAGCTAATTTTGCCATTAAAATCAGGAAAAACACCCCTGCATATATTTGAACTTGGGCAGATGATAATTAATTCAAAAGACAAGAATAACAAAAACAAGACCCTGTGAACAGGTATGGCCTTTAAAATCATGAAATTTAAACTCCGTGAAAATGAACCACTTTACAGTACATTCATTTACAACCAATCTTCAGTGACTGGTTGATGGCTTTCTGAACTCCTCTGTAAAATACCTTCAGTGACTAGTTGATGACTTTCTGAACTTCTCTGTGAAATAATCTTCTCTACTAACTGGTTATAACTACAGTTACCAATGGCTGTAACCTCACTTTGGTTCTGTGGGTCAACCAACCAACCATGGTAAAGTGATATACCAAGCAGGTCAAATATTATACATTCTGGTGTGTACTCAAACTCACTCACTCTATAAATAGAATACAAGCAACCATGGAAAAATGATATACCAAGCAGGTCAAATATTAAACATTCTAATGTGTACTCAAACTCATTCACTCTATAAATAGAATACAACCAACCATGGTAAAGTGATATACCAAGCAGGTCAAATATTACACATTCTAATGTGTACTCAAACTCATTCACTCTATAAATAGAATACAACCAACCATGGTAATGACATATACCAAGCAGGTCAAATATTAAACATTCTGGTGTGTACTCAAACTCACTCACTCTATAAATAGAATACAAGTAACCATGACAGGTCAAATACTAAACATTCTAATGTGCACTCAAACTCACTCACTCTATAAATAGAATACAACCAACCATGGTAAAGTGATATACCAAGCAGGTCAAATATTATACATTCTGGTGTGTACTCAAACTCACTCACTCTATAAATAGAATACAAGCAACCATGGCAGGTCAAATACTAAACATTCTAATGTGCACTCAAACTCATTCACTCTATAAATAGAATACAACCAACCATGGCAGGTCAAATATTAAACATTCTAATGAGCACTCAAACTCATTCACTCTATAAATAGAATACAAGCAACCATGGTTAAGTGATATCCCAAGCAGGTCAAATATTACACATTCTGGTGTGTATTCAAACTCACTCACTCTGTAAATAAAACAAAGCAGGTGATTCTAGAGTTAACTCAAACTGTCTGTAGATAGGTTTAAAGGATAAAATCTCAAACACACATTTACTCTCATAAAATTGCAAGCTCTAATTTTTGTGCATGAAAATACCCAGAATCTATAATGGGAATAAGGTTGTTATTTACCATCTGTATAAAGTCACATTTTTTGTTGTCAAAAATGACTAGCTTTGATTTGTGACTTTTGCTTATGAGTATAACTCTTTTATCTATATGAAGATGAATGAATCACTGAATCATACGGTGGATTCATTTATTTTTGTGGATTTAGGAAACAATGCATTCTTGTGGATATTTGATTTTTTGAAAAGTTTGGTTTTGTAAAAGTTTGTATACAAGTTATAAGACAATTTATACTTTGTTGAACATTTAAGTTTCCCTATAACCACAAAATCAACTAAAATTGATACTCAACAAATGATAATGAATCAACAGTACTTACTTAGTTTGAAAGAAGGTATGAGGTTGTTACAGATATACTCAAAACTACAGCCAATCAACTGACCAGAGACTCAGAAGACTCTATTGACCTCATCTGGCTTTCAGTTATTTTAGGGGACCCTACCTATATAGGGCTACACTTAATTAACCTGAACCTTTAAACCAACCTTACCCTAACACTACTAGCCCTTAAACCTAACCCTAACCTACATGTAAACAAACCTTAACCGAACCCTAACCTCAAACAATCCCTTACCTAACCCTAGTTTACAGGGTCATCTAACGAAAATCATTTATGAAGGGCCATTCATCTTACGTCTGTCCATAAAATTGACTCAATCAAAGTAACATAAACTTAAAAAGAAGGATTTATCTTAAGATACAATTTGAAAGTATACACCCTTGTGATATTTCATTTAATTTGACCAGAAGTTTTAAAGAAGTTTTTAACAGAGGCACAGCATTTCTAAGTTAATGTCAATAACATAACGTGTGTTCAATATATCTGTTTCACTACTGAGATAAATGATTACAAAATAACATTAACAATACAATCTGTTAACATTTAATGGAAAACCACAGATACATAGATGTTTTTTACATAAATGGCAATCCATTTATTATTGATGAAATTAATTATTATCATATTTACAATTCATATGCAATTAGGATGAATTTCATCAATTGTGGAGAGGAAATTGCAAAGAATTTTTTCTATTGTATATATAATGATGTTATTATACAACTTATTAGGCTAAAACAAACAAAAAGTTGTTTCTAAGGTTATATGGTTGTCAGAAAGAGAGACTAAGGATTCAGATAAAATTTGGCTCAATTCTTCTAATTTCCTTTTGGAAATATTTCTAAACTAATTATGAGATTATTTCTAAACAAATTAAAAAAGACAGGTACATGAACATACTAATCCTAATAATACTAAATGAGGGTCTATATGGGGGTTTCTTCATATTTTATCACCTCATTATTCTTATAAGTCTCTATTTACACCAAATGCTTTCATTTAAAAAAATAAAAAATGAGGGCACCAATTTAAACAAAAAGTGCAAAAATTAGGTTATCTAATTTGTGATACTGGTCACTGGTCAGTTTAATTATCTCATCCTTGATTTCACTACTGCATGCAGCTGGATACACACACAATATTGTCCAAAGTATACCACCACTTGTTATTAGAAAAAATTATGAAGGTTCAATGCTCAGTGGGTATGATAAAAATTCAAAGTACATGTATAGTCAAATTTGAAATGACTTCATGGCAAATCTGAAACTCACTTACAAGGCAATATCTCAGCATTATAAACTTCCACACCAAATATCAAATCATTCCTTAATAACAAAAATAAAGCTGAGTTATATCTAACATAAGTAACAGACAATGGACCAACAAACAAATTGGATAATATCAATTATCTTGGTGTACGTGTAATCAAGAATTTTTAACACGACTTTGTATTTCATACCTACCCATTAAATCTAACATTAACGTCCAGACCCGTTTGTAGTTTATGAATTACAGCCATGGCATCCTGCATGTTCTGTTCATAATTTAATTGCACAACCTCTGTAGCATTCTGTAATATAAACCAAAATAATTTAATATATTCCAAAATTTTTATTGACATCAATTGTACGCGATGTTGATGAAGCAAGAAAATTTCTGCTGAAAGGTTTCCAAAATAATTTTAGTAGAAACTTTCTAAGAGATGATAGATTAGTAAGTGAGTACATGTACCAGTATTTCCTCTCAAACATCAACTTCTCCAATTAATGACTGTACTGGTATTATATTTCTCTAATTCTCAATGAATTTAAACAATTCTAACCGATTCGATAGTTTTTTGTTAAGTCACATCAGTTAATATCATGTTCAACAAAGTATTGAGGTAAAATCCGAATATGTCACATTGTTGCTTATATTAGGTGTTCACAAATAAAAGAAGATATTTTGAAAAAAAAAAAGGAACAATTCAACATAATCTGTTTCAATATTCCACTTCATTATAACTTGTATAAGCATTTCATTAATTACTTAAGATTTTTACCTGTGGTTTGTTAGCAAATATACATTCACCTAGATGTGCCATCATTTGTTCTGAGGAAATTATTTCGGTATCAGAAGTGAATTTAATTTTTCCTTTTAATAATAAAACATTCATGATTGCCAACAATGGGCAAGGTCCATTTTCATTCTGTGTGATAATTGGAATTTCTTTGCCTTTAAACTTTGCCCATTTTATTTGATAAACACCCTCTAAAGAGCCACAACTAGATTTGTCATCCATAGGAGACTGAGAACGCTCATTAACACAATCTGTAGATTCTTGTTTTAATGATTCCTGTAATGTAGCACCATCTTTTGTCGCCAATTCTTGTTCATCCCCTTCTATAGGAGGTAACTTCACAGTTAATTCAGAATTTGTCTCCGATTTCAAAATTTCTGATTCTGAACTTTGAAATTTAGACACATCTGACATCTGTGAGTCATCTTTAGAGTCTGACATCTCAGAGATGCCTTTTTTTGAGGGAGGTAATTTCACTTTCAATTCCTCATCTCCAGACACTTCATTATCTTCGCTATTGTTTGCTTCTTTATCAGCCTCAGAAGACTTTTCATTTCTTTTGGTAGATGGCAATGCCCACTTATCTGTTTCTATAGTTTCACCAGTTACAATGTCACTGTTTGGTACTGGCTTATCTTCTCCTGGAGGAGAATAAACATCTGGTTGACTTTGATCCAATGTTGTGGTATCCTCTAAACACATTTCTTCTACATCATCAGATCCTAAAATGTTTCATACGCTTTTTTAATGTTTCAAACATTTACAAAAAAGAAATATTCGATAACAATTTACATTCAGCAATCAGTCTTTTTCAATTTGTCAAATAAAGTTAAACAAGAGTGCACACGCTGAAAAGTCTTACCTGTTTTACTTATCATTGAATTTATGTTGAAAGTCTGTAATATGAAGGTTTGACTACAAGTATTACATAAACTCAACATTATCAATGTTCTATGAAAATGAGGTCATGGTCAGATGAACCATAACAGACAGACATGTACACATCACAATCATTCCATACACCAAATATAGTGGTCATATCACTAATAGTACATGAGAAACAGATCAAACCACAAAATCTTAACAATGACAAATAAACCATGAAAATGAGGTCAAAGTTATATGAACTCTGCCAGACAGACATGTACACCTTACAATGGTTCCATACACCTAATATAATTGACCTATTGCTTATAATATGGATGACAAATATACCAAACCAAAAAAATTAAACATTGTTCAATGAACCATGAAAATGAGGTCAAGGTCAGATGAAACCTGCCTGAGAGACATGTACACCTTATACTCATTCCATAATACATATATATATAGTGGCCCTATTGCTTATAGTATCTGAGAAATAGACCAAACCACAAAAAAACAAAACATTGTCCAATGAACCATGAAATTGAGGTCAAGGTCAAACGAAACCTGCCAGTCAGACATGTACACCTTACAATCATCCATACACCAAATATAGTTGAGCTAAAGCTTATAGTATCTCAGAAAAAGTCTTGACCACGTAACATTTTCTTGATCACTGATCCATGAAATGAGGTCGAGGTCAGGGGAACCCTACCTGACGGACACATAGACGTTGCAAGGAACCCATATACCAAATATAGTTACCCTTATACTCATAATAAGTGAGTACATGTATTTCACTTGACAAAATCAAAATGCTTGTAAGCTCTGAAGGGTAAGAAATCTGAGGAATGCTTTCATTTTGCAATTTTGTGAACTCAAAATATAACTTTAAATTGTATTAAGCTAGGCAAATTAAAAATTTGAGTTGGAGTTATCTTCCTTTGTCCATGATTGTACATTTGTAGTTGAACCTATTTTTATCACAGATTCATACACCATGCATTACATAAATTTTAATAAAGAAAATTCTTCTTGAAAAGTATGGTAATTCACATACACATCATATTGTAACATGAATATCTAAGTATAACATATCATTAATAAATTTCTTGACATTTGACTGGATAGGATCTAAGGAATGATCACCTCACAGCACTATTTTGTTTGAACTATGAAAGGTAGTGATAAACCTTGGGAGATTTAGATATCAAGTCAGTATCCGGGTTTTGGTAACATTTAATGCAATCTTTACCCAAAAACTGCAACTTTTTTTCAAGCAGTTACTGAACCATAAAAATGAGGTCAAGGACAATGGACATATGACAAACCTTCTGAAAAATAAAGCTTTATACAAATAGTTTACGCAGACAACGGATTATAATCACTATGTTTCCCATTCTGCAACTATCATCACAGGCAAGACAAAAATCGTTGATACATTATTGACTTGCAAGAAAATAATTGAAACCTAATTTGTATAAGTGTACATGTGACCAACATGTAAGATTTACCTCAGTTGGAGATCGTTTGGACATGTGCTTAACATGTTTAGTTATTGAAAAGGATATTAGCTGAAAGATTGAAACTAGGGAACCAATTTCACTGCCTCATTGGGAATGCCAAAAAAATCCTTCTTATACAGGTGACAGGTAAAACAATGATGTGCCTGATTATTTTATTTTGTATTTATGTTATAAAATCAAGCCTTTGGTGACAAATTCAATTGCAACTCTTTCATTATTTCTGTTAAATTTATTAAGAACTTTTATAGACTTGTGTCATGACATTTAGAGCTTGAGATGTTGTAAAGAAACCAGTCTACTGTTAAAAACAATATGCTGCCCTGTAGTCCAATGCCTTTTAAGTATTTTTTTCATCGGGATGCTGTGTCTTATTGATGTATACCCCTCATCTCCTTTTATTCATCAAACCAATTGTTCAGAAAGAATAAGGTTTGTCCACCTTCAAATTTTACAATTCCTGGAGCTGAAAAATGTTAGAACGATAAGCAGAAAAATATAATAAATTTAAAATTTATATCATCATTTCATAATTTTCTGACCATTTGTAAACATTAAGAGACAAGTAGTTTGAAGTGTGGCAAGGAAAAAATAGTATAAAGTACATGTATAAATAGAATTTTTTACTCTTTAAGCATTTACAAAAAGTTACATGTAGTTCTATAATTTGCCCATATGTGTAGTTTCACTTCATTTCTTTAATATCTATTTGTAAAAGACACTAACACAAGTTGTGTGTCTGTCTTCTGTATACATATTGATGTTCTATTATATTTATATAGGTGAAGTTTCAGCTATAAAATTGTGGCATGACTTACCAGGGTTTGGTGATGCGTCATCAATTCGAGTAATTACAGCATGGATTTCGCTAGATTCGGTTTTATTTGAATTGTTGGTATTGACATTTGAAACGGCGGTAATATTGTCGTTTGTAGACATGATAACAAAATTAGTGCAAGCAGGTTATTACACAATGTTCTTTATTTTTGTGTTGCTTTTCGCTTCAACTGTAAACAACTCTCGCCATTTTTCTCACCACAATTTATCCTCGACTCTAATTCTACAAATTTTCCCAGGGGTTCAATGCGGGATGAATATACTCATACAATATATTGAAAGTGTAGCGACATATGTATGGACGCTTTTTCCAGAGAAAATGTTTATAATCGTTCAGTCCTTTTGGTCCACAGGTCTATAATTGTATACTTATTTACCCGATTAGTACTTGCAAACAACTGAGGAGAATAAGAGGTACAAAATAGGGCATGCCCATTGACAACAAATATGCGCCATCTTGCAAAGTTCTGAAACTTGGGTCCCACTTGCATTTCATCTTATTACTCCGTTGCTTTATCATTTGTAACGTCTAATTTAATGCAGGATACTTATGGATTGAATATACTTTGGGATATTGATATGCTATAAAAGCATCAACCTAGATCTTTTTTGTATTGTTAAAGTTGAATGAACTTTCCTGAAGTTTTGACCTCTTGATCCAGGACAGCATCAGTAACAGTTGGTGAGTAGTTTTAAAGCTTGAAAGCATTTACTTATTTTACAGGAAAAAACAATATTATTTTAAAAGTTCCGGTAATATGAACTTACAAAAGTTAAATGTCAATATCATTGTGTACAGTTTAAAAGTTTAACTACGCTTGAAAAGGGTAGTTGAGTTCAGAATTTCTTGCATTTGAAATCGGGTCATCTAAAGTTTTGATCTTAAATTTTGATCACTAAATAGATTCTGGTACTGGATGTTGGCTCACTTGGGAACTTCTGAAAGTGGGTCAACAGGTCAAAATATTCAACTGTAAATTGTTCAAGAGGAAAACTATCCAGTCAGTATCAGCTTAATCGCACACTGCATAATACTGTTAATAGCGTTGTTTGTGGCATTTATTACGCTGCATTCGACGGTGCACCAGTGAAGTTTGCAAATTTGTGACTGTCCCAGATTGAATGATGCCGTGGGAACACCTGCTAGAATCGTAAAGTCAACAGCCAATCGGCACGCGAAGTTGTCTGTAATTGGCTGTTTAATTTAATGAGCTTCCTTTCTTACTAAAGGCTTATCATGCAGGAATTTAATGTTTTTAGTTTGATTTAAGGGACTTATGTGTATAAACTATTGCATGTTAGATAACGACATATTTATTATAGTAGTTTTTCACTATTAGAGAGTAACCAAAAAATATTTGAATTTCTATATGGTCCATTTCCTCAAAGTTGATAAGAGGGGGTGGATTGTAATAGCCCTTGATCATTGTTCTCACGATCAAAGATGCAAATGTGTTTTCCCACGGGTCTTCTAGGTTATTTACAACTTGAATCTGACTCTTTTTGGGAGTAAAACAAAAGCAGTGGTAACTCATTGCAAATGAAAGGATACTTATTGTAGATGAGCTTGTTGTGTTGACTTTATGTTATATTTCAAATTTGGACAAGTGCTCAGAATTATAATGCAGTTAACACCTGACTGATTGATTTCTTTTTGAACATTTTCCGATATTTTCAAGATGAATAATCAACAGTTATATGTTTCCCAGGTGAGTCTACAATCATTATGTTCAATTTTATTTGTCTGACGAAGAGAAATAATACGATTTGATAAATTGTGCAATATTTTATCATTTCATCAAAGTTTCTTTATATTGAAAATGATCACCGGAGTTGTTCTGACCTTTAGAAGTTGACCTCACAGACACCACTAATGAGTTTACACTCGTGGGAATTTTTCCCACGGTTTTGTATACTTTGTAACAAGTGGTTGATATTTACATGATTAATCATCAACAATTTAAAAGATTGTTTACTTAAATTAAAGGCAGAATTTAAAGTTTAAATACAAAGGCAATTTTATTTCAATAGAATATTTGGACAAATAAAATTTGTTTGTTAAGTCATGCAGTTTTCACAGAAGTTTACAAGATATAAAATATAACCTATGTTTCTGATGAATTAAAATGAAAGAATGTTCTTGTATGCCTTATGTTAGGAGAAACTTGATAAATATATATATTATTATTATTAATATAATGCAAACATTTTTATCTACAATGTAGTGTAGACTGAGGCTCCAAAAAATTATACCTGTGATTTTGCTAACATGAGTGAAAAAAATATGATCTGTAGGAAGGCAAATAAAGTTTTTTGACTGTTTTCAAAAAGGAAAGAGGACGACTTTAATAGTGCTTGTTTAAAAATGACAAAATATTCTTAGGTGTGGATTAGGCAGGGTTTGCGATAACACAATATAAAAATAAGGAGATGTGGTATGGTTGCCAATGGTATCCGGTCCGTTCGCCCTGATTACATGTTCGCCCTGGGTTCGTTCGCCCTACTTTAAAACAAAATTAATATAGTGGTATTAAGGTTTAATAAACATATTCAGATATTTATATGATCAATATTAGAGAAAATATATATATAAGAAACTCCAGCATACTGATCACTTGTTCCTTTGTGTAGCATGTTTTATCTTTTGCTCACTATTAACAAAATATGCTGAATGGTATCCCAAAGTAATAAATTTAGAGCGTATGCAATCATCCACCAAAGTTCAAATGAAGTGGATGCAAGTACAATGTAATTATAGGCAACCATACAGCCTTCAACAACGGGAAAACCAATTCCGTATAGTCGGCTTTAAAAGGTCCCAACCTGAAAAATATGAAACAATTCAATTGAGAATCTTATTACAAAACAATTTACGAAATACAAATATGACGGTCATGAACCAATGCATATGGCAACCACTGAACTACAGGCTCTTGACTTGGGACAGGCACATGAAGAATGTGGCAGGGTTAAACATGTTTGTGAGCGCTCAACCCTCCCCTAACCTGGGACAGTGGGGTTACAGCACAACAAGAAATAGTTTTTTTAGGCCTGGTACAATTTGTTAACATATTGTTTATCATGTAGCGTACGGTAGACATAATATAATGTACATGCACATCACAAAGATGTACTGTATACATGGTATACTCTATATAACAATGTCTGATTTCTGTTTCATAAATATATAGTTCATTAATATATGAGAATGCATGTACTGATATGGTGCTTGTCAAAATGTGATTATACATGTACTTTATCAAATATTATCACTTCTATCCTCCATCCAGGTGATACATGTAGATAGTCAAGTGAAAATAATTACACTTTCAATTCATAAGTATATTTCATTCATATACATGTAATTACATGTAGAGGCTTAGAACTTGTACACTTACATGGGAAATGCTTTAAAAAATATCTATTCATTAGAAAGGAGATCATGATTCCATTTGAATGTAAAATATATATAAAAGAAAGCGATTTGGTTTGATTGGCAATGAGACAACTAAATGTATCCACCAGAGACCAAAGGAGCAGGGTGCACAACAGCACAATAGAAGAAGAACTAATTATAAAAGTCCGTTGAAAATGGCTTGACTCATCAGATGTGCAAGAAGCACAAAAAGACAAAAGACACATGTACATTGTATCTATGGAAAGTACTCACAGTTAATGAAAGCTAGGTCAAAGCCAAATTCAACTAATTAATAACCATGGTTTCTCCAGGCTAAAATTTAAATTAGAAATAAGACTTAATTAGATCAGAAAAGAATGTTGCTTGCCTAGTTAGCTCACCTGGCCTAAAAGGACATGTGAACTTTTCCATCACTTTGCGCCCTTCTTGTGTCTGTTGTCAAAAACGTTTAAAAAAATCTTCTCAGAAACTGTTGGGAATCTTGGATAAATCCTATCTATATGAAAAAATGTTCCTTAGTTTAAAAATTGTGTCAAGGGATATTTGACCCCTTAAAAGTGGGGCTTTCAATGATGATTTTTATTCTTTTTTGCTTTTTTTGCAGAAACTCAAGTAGATAGAATTTTTTTTATACAAAAATTGTTCAGTAAAATAAGGTCTACAAACATTGACAAATATGACAGCATATACACAATGTAGATGAAATTCACTATTGTCAGTTATAGGAGTTATTGCCCTTGAAAGACAATTTTTAACAATTTTTGACGGAAACTGTAGTTGATAGAAAGAAATTGTATAAATAGCAAAATAAGATCTTCTAATAAGTCACCAACAGCTGGAATTGTCAATCGAACCTTACAGGAGTTATTGCACTTCATGCAGGCTATGGATACACAAGCTATAACCATGCAACTATCTATTGGGCAGGCTATGGAAACATATGCTTTAATTATGGTATTGTCTATTATGCAGGTTATAGATCATACACATGTAATCATGTTATTATTATCTATTAGGCAGGCTATGGATACACAATAGAAGCATTGGCAGACCCACATTATGAACACTGCACACCTCAGGCCCAAAATGGCCACAGTGGACATTTTACTGATGCAAGATACATGTTACAAAACGATGAAAATTTGTATCAGGGACAAGAAAACGTCTGTTCGACACGTAGAAACCTAAATGGTCACATGGCTCAAGGCGGGTATGAAAATCCCGTAGACTTGTCTAGTAAATTGATCAATGTAAACGGTTATATTAAGAGTGAATCTGTACAAAATGGTGGATATCAACGTGAGAGGACACCCATTATGGGTAGTCACAGGGAACAAGGTCAGTAAAACTCCATATTGTTAACCATTGTACATTTTAAAATTGTAATAAATCACAAGAAGTATTAATTGAATACATGATTTTTAAATAATCTAGGACAGGAAAGTTCAAAGTTTTAATCAAAATGACTTTTTTGACAGGACTTAAATGTTTTTTGGTGTAAAGATAGAAAAAAATGCTATTCAACCCCTAAAGTCATTATTGTCTAGCTACTTTATTTCAGCCATTTCAACTGGTTTTTTTTTAGAGTACACATGACATATGTTGCTCTATGTTCTAGCTACACTTATGAGCAAAGGGAGATAACTCTATTCAAAATGCCTAATTGTAATTCTTTGCTTGTGTAAGCAAAGAATGAAACATAATTGATCAATTAATGTTAATAGAATATTTATCTTTCTTTTGTACTTACAACAATGTAATTGACATTTTTCACCATCTTAGATCTGTAGAAACCTGAAAAGACCTCTGATCTGTAAATTTACTGAGTACGGATTCACATGGCGAGTGATGTATGTGTTGTGTACAAATTGTAATGTTGTACAAATTATAATTTGTGCATATTTTTTGTACAAGTTATCAGTGTTTTATGAACCGCTTAATACAAATGGATGATGCAAGCACACAGTCTTTTGTTTAGAATATTTCTTTTATATTTCCATGACTACATGATACAGTCTAATACTAAGCACTGATACAAAAATCATTATAAGAACGCAAAAAAACTTTTTATGGATATGATTTTGGTATAAGTAGAAAAATAAAATTAGAATTTAAACCATTCAGGTGTCCTTATTTCCAGTTTGAGGACAAGGAGAATAGCACTAAACTTAGGTTGAAGTATATACATTTGAATTTAAGACATTACACAGATACATTTTAGAAGATAAGCTTTAACCACCTGGTGCAAAAAGGTATGTGTCAAAAAACTTATAACTTGTACAAAAACCCTGTACAAATTATAATTTGTACAAACTTACATCTTGTACACAACATATGCATTGCAAGAGACACTAACCCTGTCAATGCACCCTATCTCACTCAGTCGTTTTGGAGTTTATGCGATTCCCTCATATATTTTTTTTTAACATTGATTTTTATCTTCATAAACATGATAAAGGATTTATGAGATTTTAACATCAGTAATCTACTGTTGTCTCTAATTTTTAGTTTACGAATGTTATGTAAGTGTTAATAGTACAAGTGACATGATAGAAGAGAGTGTTGAGTGTAATTTAGATGGAATGTTTAAAATCTTCATCAGAACTTAAGTTATGAACAAAATGCATTAAACAGAAATTTCCAGTTCATTGATGCACTGTAATTGATTTTATCAATGATAATAAAATACTATGACAGATGACACTGTGCTCCTTGCTTTTTTAAATCTGTATATCTAATGATTAGGCTTATTCATTTTAACTTATTTTATAAGTACATGTACACATTAGTTGCTGGTAACCAAATCAATAGTACCAGTTCATTTAAATGAACAAAAGCTGCAGAAAAATTTTCTATAAATTGCTTTAGTCTTTCACAAAACTGTTTCGCTATAATTTGCCGATGTAAAATACAATTTTTATGCTTTGTCCTGATAGAAATACTTCTCTGTGTTAAATGACCGTAAATCTATATAGGATGTTAACAGAAGTATTGATGGTAATTGGAAATCAAACAAACACTGCCTTATTTAACACAATTAAATTAACAAGCTGGAATTGATTAATTTAACAAATAGTCTAAGGTTCTTTGTAGAATATGAACATTATAAACATTATTTAGGCCAAATCAGTTGACAATATCCGACAAGAGATCAAGTTTCTCTTTGATTATGTGTTAATAGGTGTAAACAGTTCCCTGTAAGTCATGTACATGTATGAAGTATGTTGGATGGCTGTGCTAGATTTATCAGATATTGTAGCATAATTATCTCATTTATATTATTAGTAGCAGAACTTATTAAAGTAATACTTACACGAAGAAGAAGTATTTACTAATGCACAGTTTTAGGCTTTGATAAAATCAAAATTATTTGTAGTTTTGACAGTCTTTGTTATAAACTTTAAGACATGTATGTTCCAGTGTGCTAAGTTGTAGGAATGGGCACATTTTTCAATTTACAGTGTAGAACTCTGGACTTTTCTTACCCTACAGGCATTTCTGGTTACTTTTCTTCTTTTTTCCCATGAACAGACCATAAAATAGTCTAATACTCCATATATATAATTGAACTTTTGAAGAATTAATTGAAAGTAAGATTTCGAAGGAAAGCAGTGAGAATCTCATGGAATGTTATTTGATATGGCCATCACATTATCTGTGATTTGAGATTTTAATTAAAAAATGTATGGATTCTGTTAGGACAGTATTCTCCTGAGGTTGATCCTTGGTGTTTAACATTCCTTCCAGCACTATATAATAGCGGCCAGTTTTAAATAGCGGAGAAAGCCAGATTACCTGGAAAGAATGAACCACTGACCTTTGGCAGGAAACTGAAACCAATTCAATATTGAGATCTGAAGGCCACTGGTGACTGTTGCCCTTCTCCTGTAAGACTTTTGAGATTGCTTCCTGATATGGATGAAATTTGTTTAGAGCTACTTTTTGCTGCAGTAAATAAACAAACATTTGATTTAAAAAAAAATCTTGAGGAAAATTTTTTTTTCATGAAAGCAGGGCTCATGCATTCCAGGCGACTAGGGCAAAGAAGTCGCTATCCCGTCCGTCACTTCGCTTTGCCCGACCCTCAAAAGCGAAAACAAGTCGCCCTGTGGTTTACGATACTCTCTTTCAGTCGCTTTCGTCATGGGCAATATTCAATTTTTACCAAGTCGATGAAAAAGCAATTTTTCATTTAAAAGTAAAGAAATTCAAGGCATAAACGATTTATTTTCTTCTGAAAAGAGGTTAAAGCATTGATTTCAAAGTTGGTGGCATGTTATTTCATAAAAACAATTTTTTATCACTTCTGGTACTTGTTACTCGACATGTACATCAAATCATTCTAACTTTTGGCAAAATAAGTTGTTACTTCATTAGAACTTGATGAAATTTGTCTGAAGTAAATTTGTTCTCCTTGTATTGCATTAAAAACGTCATATTCCTTTCCAAATAGCGTGTCAAACATCATTTATTTTTTGTAAATTTTTCTTCGTCCGCCATTTAAATTATTGGGCATATTATTGTACAGGTATGGATCTGAGTTGGGATTTCCTCGGACCTGCTATGACCGAAATCCTGATTCTTGCGATAATGACTACGTACGCATGAATGGCACTGCTGACAGACAAAAATTGATCCCAAAAGGAAAATTATGCATTCCACATGCATTAACATACTTTTGGTTAGATCTTCTTGATTAATGTATATGCATTGTTTCAATTTATAAGTTAAAGTTGCTCAACTCTGGGACTATTACACTAATATAATTATATTATGTCCAAGCTTAACTGTTAAATTTATATATCTTTTTAATGAGGAATACTCAGTTTCATGAACATAATAACAGAGTAGTTTTTATACAACCGCAAAAATTAAAAATTTTTTGGTCGTATATTGGTATGACGTTGGCGTCGTCGTCGTCGTCGTCGTCTGGCGTCGTCCGGCGTCGTCCGAAGACACATTGGTTTTCGCACTCTAACTTTAGTTTAAGTAAATGGATCTCCATGAAATTTTACCATAAGGTTCAATACCACAAAAGGAAGGTTGGGATTGATTTTGGGGGTTATGGTACCAACAGTTAAGGAATTAGGGGCCAAAAAGGGGCCAAAAAAAAGCATTTTGTAACTTTCAGGCAATAACTTGTGTGTAAGTGTATGGATCTCTCTGACATTGTACCACAAGGTTCCATATCACAAAGGGAAGGCTGTAATTGATTTTGGGGGTAATTGCCTCAAAATTTTAGGAATTAGGGGCCAAAAAAGGGGCAAAAAACAAGCATTTTTCTAGTTTCATGACAATAACTTGTGTGTAAGTGTTTGGATATTTCTGAAATTGTACTACAAGGTTTCATATCACAAAGGGAAAGCTGGAATTGAGTTCGGGGGTAATTGTGTGAAACGTTTAGGAATTGGGGGCCAAAAAGGGGCCAAAAATAAGCATTTTTCTAGTTTCAAGACAATAACTTGTGTTCAAGTGTATGGATCTCTCTGAAATTGTACTGCAAGGTACCATACCACAAAGGGAAGGCTGGGATTGAGTTTGGGGGTGATGAATCATAAGGGGGTTCAAAAAATTTGGGGGGGGGGGGGGATTTTTTTTTTTTTCTTTTTAAATTTTCCATTTTAAGTTGGTTATTTCTGATTTATATTTAGAAGCAAATAATAATGATATGGTAGGAGATACACACCAAACAGGATGTGTAAATTTTTATATAATAAGTATTGTGCAATAGCAAGAAATTTTCAATTGCACAGTATTGCACAATAGCAAGAAATCTTCAATTGCACAGTATTGCGCAATAGCAAGAAATCTTCAATTGCACAGTATTGCGCAATAGCAAGAAATATCCAATAGCACAATATTGTGCAATTGCAAGAAATTGTCAATTGTACAGTATTGCGCAATAGCAAGAAATATTCAATTGCACAGTATTGTGCAAAAGAAGATACTTCTTATAAATTGCTTATTTCTTGATCAATTTCAATGGGGTTTATTCTTGACTTCTTGGGGTTCTTTAATATGCTGAATATAACCGTGTATTAAGTTTTTGGATTTTGGGCCCCGTTTTTAAATTGGTCCACATTGAGGTCCAAAGGGTCCAAAATTTAACTTTGTTTGATTTCATCAAAAATTGAATTATTGGGGTTCTTTGATATGCCGAATCTAACCGTGTATTTAGATTCTTAATTTTTGTTCGTTTTTCAAATTGGTCTACATTAAGGTCCAAAGGGTCCAAAATTAAACTTAGTTTGATTTTAACAAAAATTGAATTCTTAGGGTTCTTTGATATGCTGAATCTAAACATGTATTTAGATTTTTGATTATGGGCCCAATTTTCA